AAAAATTGAACCTCTTTTTTACATCTTACACCAAACAGCTGTTGTCTTTAAAACTCCTCTTCAGCCCCAACCTTAGGTTCTGCCTTTGCAGTTCACCCAGATTAGGTTCTGATTTGTCGGTTTCTATGCCAGTCAGCATCTCTGTGCCTATCTCCAGGCCTGAACAAAGAGGCAGAGCTGATCAGCAGCTTCTGAGGCTGCTGGTGAGGCCCAGAGAGAGAGAGGTAGCGGTTGATCAATAGCTGCCACAGAGGCTGCAGATCATACCCTGCCTCTCTCTCTGCAGGCCTCTCTCCGGGCCTGATCCACAGCCCTTTCGGCAGTCAGTGCTGGGTCACCATGGCAACCCAGCACTGACTTCCAGTGTTCAGTGGAGCCTTGGTCATTGCAGACGTTATGGACCCTGGCTCTTTATATATAGAGATTAGAAAGCTGATGAATATATTTTTCATGAGTTTCCACCGGGGAAATTGGAGTCACCGAGGAATGAAATTCCAGTCCCTTTAAGGTCTCTCAACAGAAAAGCAGCAGAACCCAGACTCACTGCAGCAAGTGGGACCCACGGAGGAGGGGCACGGGAACCTGCTCACCTCCCTGTATGGCAGTCATAAGGTCACCAACCCCTCGAGGCTTCTATCCTCTGTCAGCCACACACCACAGCTCTGCCCTGCTTCTCTCACCAAGCTGACCGGTGTTACAATCTTGGTGGAAATGAAAATGTTGTACTCTGGGAAGGTTGATTGACTTGCATGTTAGGTTAATTTGAAATAAATTATAATTAGCAAATTATAATTAGCAAATTATAATTAGCAAATTAAATCATGGATTCCTTAACTATTATGTATTACATACCTGGCTTTGTTGGTGGTATGTTATGGTTTAGAACACAGGATTTAGAGCCAAATATCAGGATTTTAATCTCACTTACTACCTGGATGACTTTGGTCCAGTTGCATACCTTTTCCATAATATGGGCATCATGATACTTTCTGCCAGATAGTGTCATCTTGAGGACAAATGAGTCAATATAGGTAAAAACACTTAGCCTGGTTCAGGGGACATGGTAGGTGCCCAAGAAATAATCATTAAGGACTTGGAACTTTTATCACAACAAAAAGAAAACATGAGCGTGTGTCCCATGTTTCTCTGTCGCCACAACCTTTCACCAGATGGGCACTGGCCAAGCATCCAGCAGACTCACTAACCCCCT